TTTTTTTTTGGTTTTTGAGACAAGGACTTGCTATGTAGCCCAGGGTGGCCTTGAACTCGAGGCAATCCTCCTGCCTCAGCCTCCCAAGTGCTAGGATTACAGGTGTGTGCACAACACCCAGCTATCTGGGATTCTTGACCCCAACTTCCATTGTGTCTCCAAGGTTGTCACCTGCTCCTCAAATCGTAACTATAAAAGAGTGTACTTATGTTGAATATGTATAGATTAGTAAGTATTGAGTGAGCCATTAAAAATACTATTGAGAATTTCTTTTTCAGTTTAAAACAGAGAAAGAGATCATTTTCTGACCCTAATATTCCACCCCTCTTACATGTAACTTATTCAAGAGAGGTATCTGCATTAAACGTGTCCATCCTTTTACTAATGGAAAATGAGGATGGCTCCTATTGAATTCTGGTTTCTTTTTGAAATTGACTTATTGATAGAAGGGACCTATCAGAATACAAGTCAACCCTTTCTTTCAGTGGCTATTCACAGATAATTTGACACAGAAACATGAAACTGTTGGCTTGTCACATGGTACCCAAATCCCATGCTGTTTTCCAGCAGACTCTGAACCTCAACTCCCAGGATTAAGAGGCTGACAAAGGGCTACGGTTTAGAATGAAAAAAGATCAACTCTCTCACACCTTACCTAGAAATAACCACTGAATATTTCATTTCATTATTTTTTAAAAATAAAAATAACTTTATTATCAAACACACACATACAGAAATAAAAACCATTCAAAGAAGAACAATGCAAGGGAAAAAAACTACAGTAATATTCAAATACAGTAGAACTCAACCAAAACAAAACTGAAAAGCACAACATTTTTCCATATAACTTAAAAAAGCATCTCAAGCACCAACAAGACACCAGAGGATGTGATTTGTTTCAGAAAGATCCCCAAAACCAACATTGAACAAATAGTCGTCTGGAAAAAAAACTCCAGTTAGCTAGCAGACTCCACATAAGCAAAACTTGTCCCTGATTTAAATTTTGATACAGTCATATGACATGCGATGGAAACACAATCCGAGAAATATGTTATTAGGCCATTTCATCCGTGTGTATCCTTAATTACACTTTCAGTGTCTCACACTAGAGAAACTACTTGATATTTACACATGTGTGTCCTATTTATTTCACTTAAGAGGATGGCCTCAATATGTATCCATATAGCTATAAATGTCTCCAGTTTCTCATTCTTTATAGCTGAGTAGTACTCCATTTTATTAAAAAACCACATCTTCATCCAGTCTCCAGTTGATGGGCACTTGGGTTGTTTTCAAGCTTTAGCTACTACAAACTGTGCCGCTATGAACATGGGTGCACAAATATCATTGTGGTATGATTCTTTTAATTCTTTTGGGAAGATACCCAGCAGGGGGATAGATGGGTCAAATGCGACCTCTAAGCCTAGTTCTTTGAGCTATCTCCATACTGATTTCCACAGTGGTTGCACCAGTCTGCACTCCCACCAACAATGGAGAAGGGTTCCTTTCTCCCTAAACCCCCACCAGCATTT